CGGGAGTGTGAGGAATCTCACATGGGAGGAAAAAAACTTTCAAGTACAGCAACGATGGGAAAGATTTGTTCAAAATTACCCCTTTATTTGACACCACAAAGGTCTGAGACAAGAAAGGCCCTGTGAGTGCAGTGAGGACCTGCGAGCGCAGAGCGAAGCTCTCTTACAGTCCACAGCGTGAACAATTATCATCCACAGACACGCTGGGCCTTCAGTGCTTCTTCCTCTGTCCTCAGTCCTCCTTCAGTCCGCTACCTCCCCAGGCACCTGCCCATCAAATTCGCATCACTGCAGTTTGTTTGTATTATCTAGAAAGAATGCTTGAAAATATAGATAAATCTAAATAAAGTATAACAGTACATATGGTAATATTTAATTTATGGAAATGTTCAGTAAATATAAAATAAAGTCACTAGATATTATTGTATGCAGGCCTAGAGCATATGGTTAAAGCATTCTAGACACTGACTACAATTAAACTTGCTTTTGATATATGAATATTCCTACCAGTTTTACATGTAACAGGCAAAGCTAGTAATGACCCATATATCAACCATTCTTTCTGAAATTCCATGCTTTTCTTCTAGGATCATACTAGAGTGAAACGTTAAGTAAAAGTACATCTGGGAATAAATTCCTTGCGTTTTTCACTAGCCAAAATAGCTTTTTAAATTATGAATTGTGTCCTTCATTCTTTTGATACTACTGGGATTGAACCCAAAACTTTTCCTCTGAGCTACACCCCAACTCTTTTTATTCATCTATTTTTAATTTTTAAAATTCAATTAACTAATTTTATTGGTACATTTTAGATATACATAGTGATCACATTCATCACAGGGAATTTGTACCTCTACATGATATAACTTAATTCTTTTTTTCCCCATTCCACTCCCCTCCCTTCAACCCCTCTTCCCCTTCTTAATTACAAAAGCTTTGTTTCCGTTTTTTCCTTTTATTCCTTTTTTTGTCTCCTTTTCTTTCTTTCCCTCTTTCCCTTTCTAGTTCCCTTTCCCATTTGAACATTTTCTTCCTATTTCCCCAATATCTATTAGACATTTTAGTCCTTATTTACACTTTCAGTTTCTCACACCAGATAAACCATGTGATATTTGAACAGGTGTGTCCAATTTATTTCACTTAAAAGTGTGTAGTATTTTTATTTTGAAACAGGGTCTTATGAAGTTGCTGAGAGTGTCAGGCTGGGAATGAATTAATTCTACTGCCTCAGCCTCCCAGTTTACTGGGATTATAAGCATGCATCACCATGCTCTTCTTTTGTCTTTTATTCTTAAAAATTTTTTCTGACATAGAATTTTAACTTGACTTTTATTTTCTTTAAACATTTTGAAGTTACTGTTTTCTCAATGTCCTCTGTCTTCCAGTGTGGAGGATAATTAATCACCAGTGGAGCTGCCACTCTTATATAGGTAGTGAGCCTTCGTCATTCCAGGTCCTTTTAGAGCTTCCTCCTTGAAGCTGACAAGCTGTAACTCCAGTATGATTTGTTCACCCCAGTTGGAACCTACTGGGATTCTCCAGTCTTGAAAATTATTGCAATTTGTATTTTACTATCTTTTAAAATATTATTTTCTACCATTCCATCTATTATTTTTATTTTGCAAATCTAATATTTGGAACATCTATCTTGCATACTTTTAAAGTTTCTTTATATCAAACTGTTTTTTGGGGGAATACAACTTGTTAATTTTTTCCAAGCAAATTTCATATCTAAATCTTAATTTCTCTTTTCACTTAAGACTTATTTGTTGTTTAAAATATTTAGTTAATTTTGTGACAATTATAATTTTCAAATCTAGAATATCTCATATGCATGTGTGATCTAGGCTTATTTCTGATATTCTTTTTTAAACTATTTGATATGTATACCTTTATTTTTATAAGCATACATATTTACACGTTTTCCTTGATAATTTTATTGTCTGTGTTCTTTCCAGATTTGAGTTCTGTTTGTTCTCATTCACAGAGACTTATTTCCATACATGCTGCATACTTTTTGTGATTGTTAATTTACATTCCACGGAACATTTATTTGAAGTCATTGTTTGAGAACTCAGCACACACGTTCTGGGAGGATCTGGGCTAGTTTCAGCCCAGTATCCAGTACTGCCAAACTATGACTTCACAAACAATTTTCTGTATTTAGGACTTCACGTGCCTCATAGGAACAGTCAATACTGCTTCTAATTAAGGTTTGGTTTGTGCTTACAAAGTTTTGGAAGTAACATTTTCTCCTTTACCTAGAGTGAGAAGAAGATAGGCAAGAATTCCTACCACTTCTCTGTCCAATGAGGCCTCATATTTTGAGTCTAACTTTGTTAAGCCCTAAAGACTAATGTAGTGTGTGTGTGCATGTGTGTGTGCATATTTGTGTGTGTGTGTCTGCCCTGTGAGTGTCTTACATGTAGCTTCTACCCACAGTAATCAGTGGTTGCCTCCAGGTAGCAGCTGGCTGAGCTTAGGCAGTTTCCTTTCTGAATTCAATTTTCTCCTCAATTTTGGCAAACATTTTCTTACCAGGTTGCAATACAGTAGTTCTTTAAAATTTAGTTTTATGATTTAATACAGTATTTTACTATGGTGATAGTGCAAGAGTTTTAGGGATATCAATTCACCAGGTTGGAAATAGAGTTACAGTGCAACTTAAGACATATAAAATTGATAACTAAGTTAAGTATACAACAATTTTCAATACTCATATGAAAAAGTTTCCCTCTTTTGGATGATTTTGAGATAAATCTTTAGAGATGCAGAGTTGGTTGTTCTGCTAAGAATAAATCCCACCAATTATCAAGAAACATAAAAGGCAGTTTAGACACTCAAGTAGTGAAGTAGATTTTTCAAAGAACCTCACATTACTCTGGGGATGAAGTTAAAACTATGATGATGTTACATACACCAAAGGATAGATGGATAACTGTTTATTGCATGCATGGATATATACAAACATATGTATATACTTAATTATATGTAATTATATCTATATTTTATGTATATTAGAATGTATACATATATTTGCACAATACATACATATGAAATTATACTTAAGAATTCTGCCCTATAAAGTATATACACTTGAATTTCATCCCTGGTTGAAACTTGAATGACTATATTATACTTTGATATCTGTGAGTGACACACGTCATTATTTTTCTTCTGGACCTTTTCTTCAGGATGTGCATTAACAAGAATTTGTTCATGGTCCCGAGCCTGAGTTTGATGAAGAATACTTGTTTGACTGTTACTTGCTGCTATGTGCGTGTCCTTGCAATTATCCAGCGGATTGGCAAGAGAAGACTCTGCTAATGATTCTAGCTCAAACACTGTACCTGTTGGTATTGACAGACTTTGTTCCTTAGAGAAGATATGAATTGCCAGCTGGATGTGACAGTTTGTGAGCTAACACTGACATTTGTGTTGGCACCATAACAGTATTTACAGCTCAGGAAATATATACAGTCAAAGTATGATGGTACAAAGAATTCTGAAGTAAAAAGAATAACAATATAAAATGATAAGCAGGACCATAATAATAAAATAATTTTAAGAGTAACTTCAGAGCTTAGGATCTCTTTCAGGAAACATCTGCTGTATGTGAAACATACAGCATATGCTTCAAAGGGAAACCATTTACCAAGAACTGATAATTCAGTTATACAACTGCCCATCCATACTACATATTCTAACAGTCTCTTGGGTCAGAAAACTGCATGGAAACATAGCAAGAGATAAAGACAAAAAGTTTTTGAATGATATGGAATATAAATATAAAATATCATAGCATCAGGAAAGAGATTAATGGCATATATTTGACATTTTCTTTTTCTAGACGCTTAGTTGGCTTTTCTCAGGCTCGTCTTTATTTTCCATGTATATCACTTTTTAAGGAGTCTAAATTGGCACATTTCAACATGGTCACCTAGGATACTATAAACTATATATTTGACATATGTCCCTATTTACTGGCATATGGCTCCTAAAATCTTTAGAATCTTCAAAGTGATAAATGTCTTTTCTATGCTAACAGGTTGCGTGGTAGCTGGTAGCCCCGAGGTAGCTTAAGGAATGGCTGGTCACCAGAAAGACCAAGGCAGAATTAGAAGGATAGGATTTTTAACCCCATCTCCAACCTTCAAGGACGGAATAGAGGCTGAAGCTTAAGTTGATGACCAGTAGCCAGTGATGTAATTACTCATGCCTAGGAAATGAAGCCTCCACAAAAATCCAAAGGGTCAAAGTTCAGAGAGGAGAGTTTTGGGATAACTGGAGAGTGACGTGCCTGTAATGTGGAAGTTCCACCCTCAGTCTCAGTGACTCGCCCTTGGCACCACTTCATCTCATCATCACACCCTTTATAATATTCCATATAGTGAACTAGGGAATGGTAAATAATAGTTTTCCAGAGTCTGGTGAAGAGCTCTTGCAAGTTACTGAAATCAGGGGTGGGAGAGTTTGGGGGAAGCCTCAACTTATTAGGTAACTGACAGGTAACCCACAGGTAACCCAATCCAGGCCAAGCAGTTGGCATATGAAAAGAGTAGCAGTTCGGGGGACTGAGCACTCCATCTGTGGGGTCCACTGCTGTCTCCAGGCAGGCAGTTTCAGAACAGAATTGGAGGGCACCCAGCTGGTATCCACTGCTCCAGAAATGAATGCTTTCTGGTGGGGAAAATACCCACATCTTTTGATGGCACAGAAATCTACACTGATTTGTGAGAGTAGAAGAAAGAAATAGGGTTGGTTTTTTACACACCATCAAGAAGGTAAAGTCATTAGAAAAGTGATTTGGAAGGCAATGACACAGGAGAACTTTTGGTGAATACTATAACATATCTGGATATTCTATAACCTGTAGTAAATATTATTAAGTGGAAGAAAAAATCCGTTGTCATTTTTGCCTCTGTGTTAATGTTTTAGTAAACACTCAAGATGTCATCATTTTTCTGTTTTAAAATTAATTAGCTTGACAATGTACTCACTGCACTGGTCCCAGGGCAGCCTGGAGATTGGCATTCACCACTCATCCGGTTTGGAAACAAGACATCTTCCCAGCAAGATGGACCCTTTGGAGGAAAAAAAACAAAAACAAAAACCAATATATCCTTGATACACAAATTGTAATATGTACTTCTTAACAAATATTCTAAAATCTTTCCATTTATATTATTAGATAGTAATTACATAAATGTGCAGTTCACTGATTTCAGGGTGTCCACAGACCCCCAAAGGCTCTCTGCAGATGCTCCTGGGGACCTGCTAAGTCAAAACTATCTCAGTGACTATGTAAAACGTTATATGGTATTTGGCTTCAAACATGTTCATTATCCATTCCTACACTTCCTCCAGAGACCTGTTTAAATGTAACTGTAGCAGAAAGGCCATCCCTGAGCTTAGCCAACCCTCTCCTTCAGGTCTGTCATCTTGATTTTGTGTCACAGCAGTTATTACCACCAGGTAAGTGGCAAGGTGACAAAACAGTGGTTGTCTGTACTCCCACTGATTGTACCTCTGCAAGGGCAGACTGGAGCTCTTCTATTCAGTGTAGTCCTCTAGGGAGGGGCCTGGTACATAGAATGTGCTCAACAACCTCTCCTGGTAATCTAAGAAATAAAAATTTAAAGAGCAAGAGTTTTCAGTGAAATCAAAAAAGAACACTTAAAGTAAAATATTAATGTCAATTAATGCAAAAAAAGCAAGGATCCTTGAACTGGCTCATAACTTTTTGTCTAAATTTCAAGAAATTTATACTGGTATCTTACAATTCTGTCTTAGTTATTTTCCTTGTTACTCAGACAAATTACTTGATGCCAAAGTTAAAGGAGGAGAGGTTTATTTGGCTCACAGTTTGTGGAGGTTTTAGTCCATAGTCAGCTGGTTCCAAGGCAGGGTGGCTTGGCAGAGGGGCATCGCAGAGGAGAAACAGTTCAGCAAGCGGGCAAGTGAGAGCAGAAAGCAGCAATCCAAGTGACTTTATCAGCTTCTTTCTGTCTCTTTTATATTCTGTCTACACTACTGGGTTTAAGGAGGGGGCCAAACAAATCCATGGACTGATTTAGTAATCACACACCCTTAATCCCAGCATCACATGCTTTTGATGCAGCCACCTCTGAAAAAGCTCCTCCTATGACTGCGTGAGGCTCTGGGGGCACATCTAGACATAAGCCACAACACTGGCTAAAAATACTAAGAGCCTTACGTATTTTGTTTACAGATACTTTGAACACAGTGGAGAGGAACTAGAAACATCCTGGATCAGCAAACAACCATCCATAACTAAATCAAATACTACGCAGCAACCATAATTTATAGTTCTTACTCACTAACAATATACTTGTACTTAGTGAAAGGAATACAGAATTCAGTTAAAGTAGAAGCACAATATTGAGGTATTGAGGTGATTATGAAGTGAAAATATTACAAAGGAAAGATGCAATTTGTACCTTTGGGGGTAATAGTCTCACTACTGATAAGTGTTTAAAATTTAATTAAATAGTTTTCTTAAATGTATTGCAATTGTAGTTGGTGACTCTTAATGAAAATGTAATGTAAGTATTACACTCATGACCCTCTATGGGGCAGTATGGAGTATGTATAGACATCCCTGGAGACCTTGCTGCTGCTGGCCTGGTGACAAGTAAACCTCCTATTTCTCCTAAGGAAGCATTAGACTTATGCTTAAAAACTAGCAATGTTACTCAGACAGAGTAGTGTGCATGCTTGTAATCACGGCACTCTGGGAGGCTGAAGTGTGAGGATCCTAAGTTTAAGCCCATCCTGGACAGCTTAATGATTTAGTAATTTAGTGATCTATCTCAAGATGAAAAAAAAAGTACAAAGCTCAATATAAATGTTCTCAGTTGAATTCCAAGTTTTGCAACAAAATTGGCACTGTGTAAACCTGTAGTACCAATGAGAATGGAAGAGATCAATGGTTGAAATGTCCATGCTTTTCTAGAAATGTGTAATAGGCTGTAGCAAAGAACAAGCCTCTGTTCCTGCAGAACCACATGTGGGTGAGGTCTCAAAAACATAAAAATAAACAAACAAAAAGTCTGAAGAGGTGAGATGACCTGGAGCCACCAAAACTTCACCAACAGAAGAGCTTAAGGTCTTCTAGAGAGAAAGGTTGGATTGCCAATTCAAAAACAAACATCAAACTAGAACTGTAAAATTGTAGCAACACCTTCAAAGCTCAGAGAGGACTGCATGTAATATGACTGTCAGTCAAATAGGAAAATGGAGAATGTTGGCTGTAGGATAGTCAAAGGTGGGCCAGTGCTGCCCTCACAGATTGCAATTCTAGAAGAGATCCAGGAAGGGCCAAGTGAAGAGATGAGCAGGTATCTTTGTAGCTGTGATAGGACAGAGGAGGGAGGATGGGTAAAGTATCAGGCAGAGGTGATTTGAGGGCAGTGACCAACATGAGGTGCAATGAGGAACAGTGGTTGTGACATTATGACTACGAGACATTTAGACAGAGCCAATGGTTCATGATGCAGGAGATAAATCAGACATTGGGAGTTTGCACAAGGACCATTCCTGCTTCAACAATCAGCCCAGAACAGCCTAGCCACCTAGCGCAGGAAGCTAGTGAAAATTCTGGGGAAGGTTTTCAAGAAGCCATGTCTATTTCTTCAGGTCGGCATGCACAAACCTTGCCTCCTTCACTAACACACATACAACACACAAAGACATGTGTACTTGCATATGCATGAACATATATACCATATACATACATATACTACACACATAAATGCACACATACACTAGAAAAGAGCATGCAGAAACAGAGGAAATGTGGAAAGCTGAGTTCTACTTCAAAGAAACTAAGCCATGTACATAAACAATTTAACCCACACCTCAGAGAAAGCCAGAATCTGAATTCACAGATCATTAGGTGAAAAGCCACTGGTACAGCAAGCCCAAAGCTGCTATTGTTAGAAGCTTTCAAGGGTGGGCCCTGGCTGGTATTTGGGAAGTTGGATTTCAGAAGTGTCGCCACCACCTCCTTAATCATGTGGGTGGTTTGCACAGCCTTAAGCTGTTTGGACAAGCTATGTGATTCATGTCTAACACCTTCATGACTGAGAACCTGCAATTTTAATAAGCATTGAGCAGAGATGCCTACACGAATAGCCCCTGCTAAAACCCTGGGCTCTGATTCATGAGTGAGTGTCCCTAGCAGACATTTCTCACTTGTGGTTGCTACTTGCTGTGGGAGGAGTAAGTGCCTCCTGTGAGGTCCCTGGAGAGACTCCTTTGGCCCCTTCTGGTCATATCTTTATATTCCTAGGCAGATATTGCTGTACTGCATCTCTGCCGTGTGTATGACTACAAACCCAGTCCTGTTAATTTTTCTGGCAATTCTGCAAGCCTGAGGTGTGCATTAGTCTTGGAAGCCCATGATACAAAGACACAATGTCACACAATTAGTCAGAAAGAGAATGTTCTCCCAACTTCAGAGGCTTGTCAGGGTTTATTAAGACAACATCAGTCCAGTCACAAAGGGTAAAAAGTTCCATTTTCTTTTTTCATCCCACTGTATGAACAAAGCCTGCCACACTAGTGAAACAGTTTTAATGATGGTTGTGGAACCGAAGGTATGTTACTCTGCTGGGACAATGTAAAAGTAAAATACAAGTACCAGGAATGGGGGGCAGCCAGGTGTGGTAGCCCATGCCTATAGACTGGGCAATCAGGGAGGCTGAGCTTGAAGGATTATAAGTGAGGGAGGGAGCAAGGGACGGAAAGAGTGAGAGGGGGGTGCTGGAGGGAGAGAGGCAGGGAAAGACAAGACAAAAAGGATTGGAAGGCCAAAATGAGCTCAGGAAAGAAGGGTCAAGGAGAAGATTAATGCTCTTACATTATAAGCAGCTATTTCTATTAAAAACCATCTACATATATGATTTTCTTAAATGTGCATAGATTCACTTGGTAAAAACTGCAAATATCTTGACATAAAAGAATGATGAAGCAATAAAATTTAGAACTTTAGTCACATTCATCAGCCTCAGTTTTGTAGCTTAAGGTAACTAATTCAATGGAGATAGATGTGGCCATAATTTAGTCATATAATCCTACTTCAACACTTTGATGAAGATCTGGATAACGCATCTTGCATATTTGTTTTAACCTCTATTTTGTGTGGGTAATGGTTACATCAGATTTCTCTCATTTTGGACAATTAAGAAAATATTAGAGTCTAAATCTGAGGACCATCTTTAGCACTATTACACAGATGATAATAATCAGTCAGGTTGCTATTGTGACCCTTGGCTTTACCATCTAATTTAATGTGTCTTGATGCAGTTTTAATGTTTCAAGGTTTCCAAATGCTTTAGAAAATAGTCAAAGTCTAGTTTAGTCTTGTAATTTTCCTCTCTTCACTCTCCAAAAACCACTAAGAGCTCCATACGGAGTAGCTTCTAAAGTTCCTTCTGTCCCGGAACCATAGCTATTGCTGCTAAGGGAACAAGGTTTTCGCCAGGCAGACAACTGTGCTGAGCTGTGGCTCTCAAGCTGCGGATGGTGGCGATTCACAAGGAGCACCAGCAGTCCAGAGGCTCAGAAAAGTCCCAGAGTTTAAAGGAAATCCATTTCACTGCAGTTCGCCCTGAAGCAAATGATATATTAGTGGTTCTCCTTAGCAACAAAAAAAGTTTCTTTGGAAATACTGACAGCACATGCAATGGAGAAAGAAATATTTGCATGGTAAAGACTGGAAAGGAACACTAATAATCAAAGGAAGGAGGAGCTAGATTCGGTTTACTGTTCATAGTAAGATTCAGAAAGTGTAGAAGTATGTATGCTTTTCTCTAACTATCACAGATAACTCCTTTTCATATTTTAGTTTTAGAGTCTAAATAGCAATTAAAAATGTATGTAACAATTTCTACAAATTATCTATAATAAGGTAGATAGCCTTAGTGTTTAGTGCTGTTTAGTGTCTAAACAGCAATTAAAACTTTTATGCAACAATTCATATATACCATCTATAATAAGTTAATACATGATCTGACAGATCTTTATGATGTACAGAGAAATTATGGAAATCTCACTCATA